TATTTCTCCCTCAAAGATTCACAGTTGTAAAACTCCCTCATCTCACCGACTCGCCATCACTGTACCTCTCCTGAGCCTCTGTTTCCTCATCTGGGAAAGGGGAAGATGCTAGGACCTGCCTCCCAGTACAGTCATGAGGGGAAAAGAGTTAAAAACATGTCGAGTGATGGACAGAGTTGAGTCTCAATAACTCTAAGCTGTTGTGAAAAGCAAAAACAATTCATTATTATCTCTGAGAGTTGATAAAAGTCCATACTGCGTCCGTCCACAGTACCCAGCTTCCTAGTTACCCAGGAGTGCTATCTTTGTCATGGAGCAATCTCAGTCATCATTATGTCTCTGCTCTGGATGAGTGTCTACTATATGAATTCTTCCACAACATCGATTAGCCGAGGGGAATCATTAGGAGTTAAGAGCTTGAACGTTAAAATCAGAGAGACGTGAATTCTAATCCCACCTCCACCTCCCAGCAGTGTAACCTTGGGCAAATCACTTTGCCTCTCTGTGATTCTCAGCTCCATCATTTTTTTTTAAAGATTTTTAAAAAGATTTATTTATTTATGCGTACAAGAACTGGGGTACAGGCCAGAGGTGTGGGGGTGAGAGGATTCACCAGAGACAGAGTGGGGAACAGAACAGGCAGACTGACTGAAATACACTGCTGAGGGGAGCAGCAGGTGAGTCAGGAGAGGTCTGCTGTGCCATGTGGGTAGCTCCCTGGCGGGGGATCGAACTCGTGCTACAGTGGCTGCAGATAACTTCATAGGTTGTGTCTTAACCCCTTGTGCCACCAGGGAGGCCCTCAGCTCCATCATTTAGAAAATGGAACTAATAATGGAGGCCTCCCAGACAGGCATGGAGATTAAATAAGGTTATACATGGAAAGCTCTGAATACAGTGCACTTACGAGCATCTGCCATCTCTTTATAGTTGTCATTTTTTTCCCTCTTGGCATGCACAGAAATAAGTATGAAGAGATGGATGCAGAGTTCTGTGGTCTACGTGCTATTCTGTCTCCAGACACAGATGGAGAGAGAAAGAAAGTGCACGGAGGTTATGGGTTGAATTGGAAACTTCTTTTCTTAAATAAAACTGATCTCCAAATTTACAGAAAAGAGAGAAAGGGCCATCATTAATATTTAATAGTGCTTCTAGATTACAAAATCTTTGTCAACTAAGACCCAGGTCAAGAAGCTTAAGGACCTCCCTGGTGGCACAAGGGGTTAAGTCTCAGCACTATGAAGCTACCCGCAGCCATTTTGGAATGAGTTCGATCCCTGGCCAGGAAGTTGACCCACATGGTGCAGCAGACCTCTCCTGTCTTGCCTGCTGCTCCCCTCAAGAAGCTTAGCATCCTGCACAGGGCTGGCACTCAGCAGGCGCCCCATTAATGCTCACTGCTCTAAGCTCCCCGCTCTATTGGTCATTCTGGGCTGCCCTCTCCACAGACCATAGACTAGGGGCTTCATCAACAAGCAGGAGATTGCAAGGCCAAAGTCGAGGTGACAGAATGGTCAGGATCTGGTGAGGACTGTCTTCCTGGCTTACAGAGGCCACCCTCTTTTTCTTGCTGTATCCTCACATGGCAGGGAGAGAAAGGAAGAAAAAGAGACAGACACCCACAGAATGTTAGTGGGTTAGAGGGAGAGAAAGAGACACAGAGACACATACAGAGCCACAGAAACAGATACACACACACACATACACACACACACAGAGTTAATGAGTCAGCCTCTGATGTCACATTTCATGGGCACAGCCTGCTGTGGTACCCCAGCCCCAAGATCTCCCTCTGATCCATTATCTCCCTATCTCCAAATACCATCACATTACAGGGTAAGGTTTCAACTCATGAATTGGATGAGAAAAGCAATCCCCTAACATTCTTTGCCTCCTCTGTAAAGCAGACCACACCCCAAGGTCAGCAAAGGGACTCCCTGGATAAGGAGGACAGAGTGTGGATGAGCAATTAGCGATTAGAGCGGGCATTATAGGGAACCACAGACCCACCCATTACGCTCTCAGGTATAAAGAGCTCAGGAGCTGGAGGTCATGAATTTGCCCCTCAATCTAGGAACCTCCCCACCCAGGGCTTAAAATGATCTGATTGGCCAGACCTGGGTCACATGCCCACTCCGAGAAGTGAGGGGAGCAGCCCCACAGGAGCCCTCTGGAGGGAGATTGGGGAGGGATAGATCTCAAAGAAAGCCAAGCAGCGCTGCCAGCAACCCCCACACCCAAGTTAAATGTTGAATGGCCCGGCCCCAATTCCCTGCCCGACATTTCTGCAGGCGGTGCCATTCTGTCCTTACATTCTCTCCAGCAAAGCCCACGTAGGCACAACACACACTCATCCTTCCATCCCTGGGTTTGCATAAAAACCCACGTCCACGAAGTAGCAACTGCAATGTTTTTCAATCACACAGCAAAGATATTTAAAAATATCACCCATATGTGTTTTAAATACAGGCAAATAGCTGGCAAGGCAGCCGGCTTCACACCCGCGTGCCATTCTGAGTTATAATCTTCTCGCTTCCAACTCTCAAAATCACACGTTGAAGGCCAGACAAACCCAGAACACTGCTGAGGCGGTGCATCTATCCAGAATCTTCCCGACCCTCACAGCCCTTCTTTTTTTCCTGGTAGTAGAAACATCTATGATCCTGGGGGAAAGGAATTTCAGGGCTCCTGGACTTGAACTGAATCATCTGTCCCCCACTGAGGATACAGAAATGGAAGCAGAAAGTTTGTAGTGAAGTTTAGGAAGTTTCCTCACCAATCCAGCCTGCACCTGTTCTCTCACTGCCCCCTGCCTGCTTGCCCCCAACTATTTCTCTGGTAACAAAGTCTTTAACAGCCAACCTTGTTTATATATACTCTTGTAACTTGAGGCTTTCCATGGTTTTTTTACCTCCTAGATTGATATTTTTCTTTCATGTCCAAAATAATATCCTTCTCTAAGTAACAATTTCAACTCAAAATGGCTAAAATTATCGATTTTCTTTCCCTTATATAAGAAGTGCAGAGGTAATGAGTCTGAGTTTGGTGTGATCAGCACCTTCATAACCTTCTTGACATCAACTCTCCAATGTGCCACCCTCTTTGTGGCCATTAACCACTGCATGATTGCCTCATGGCCCCAACATAGCTGCCCCTGTGCCAGGTATCACATCTCACATCCCATTGACTAGAACTTAGTCACATATCCATTCCTAAGCCAATCAGCAGGGAGGTCAATATGAGGAGCCACGCAGGAAGATAAGGAAAAGGAAAGAGAAGGTGGAAGAAAAGGAGACAAAAGGAAGGTACTGGGCAGGGTCACAGGAGATTTCTGAGAAATCTTGGGGAGATTAAATCTTACATAGAGATTATACTCGTCTTTATAATCTCTCTTTTAGGATTGAGGCACATTTTACTGTATGGCCTCTCTCTTGCTCCCTCTCTGTCCAGCTCCTTTCTCCCTTTCCCTGGGCTGCATGGGCTTGCTTACCCAAGTGCCTTAACTCAATTTGGTCTGTGCACCACTCCCTGCCCCTGCCCCTGCCTGTGAGGCTGGCCCAGACACACTGTTCTTATCTGCAACTCCAAAAATCCCCAAAACTCTGGAATACAAAAGCTTTTATTTTCAAGTTTGTGACAAATTCATGTAGCTGCAAAATCTGTTTAGAACTGGTGGAATGTATAGACTTCTTTTTTTAAAGCTCACTTAATGTGAACTGTCGTACATTTTGCTGCAAAACTGTCAATGTACTGGGCCACGTGACTTCACCCAGACACACTCTGCACGTGATGGAGTGCAGTGCTCTAAAATCTGAGAATCTGAATTCCAAAATACATCTGGCCCCAAGGGGTTATGCAGTTTGAAGCCATTTGCGGATGAGGAAATTGTCAGGTAAATTCAAAAACTTGCCCAGGTTTGCATAGTGAGTATGGCCCGGATTTAAACTTCGGATATGTCAAAGCCAAGGCCACCTAACACACCCCTTCCATCGCCCCATCCACATGTGCGATTTCTGCATCCCCCAGCACCATACATACATTATTAATATTTACTTAATATTTTTCTCTCACCTGACTCAATTTTTACCTAAATGAATGTTTTTGTAAAAGAAAACTTCCTATCACCACGCTAAATGGAAAAACTTGCCATAAATAGAAAGTAGCTACATATAAATAAACACATCAAGAGTAAAGAAATGAATTAAATCCCTGCCTGCAAGAGGAGCTGAGCCTCTGACCTGCTGGTTCTCGCCACTTAAAAGGGACACTTTTTCCAGGGACCAAGGCCTTACCGCCCTGCTAGCACCTGAGTGTGTTTTGAAGTAATCAGGTGAGACTCTTCAAGGTTCTAGAAGGTTCTGTGTACGCTCTAGAAACAAGAGCCCCCATTGGCTGCCCTGGGACGACTGAGCCCGCCTCTGGGAGCAGGTCAGCCAATCGGCTCCTCCCTTTCATCTCTGTGGCGGAGCCTTCCGGACGTGCGCTGGGCGTCGTGAGGCCTCGCGTGAGGCGGCAGCCGGCGACGCTGAGGCGTGGCTGAGGCAGAGGAGAGGCGACGGGCGACAGGCCTGCGCCTCGGCTGTGCCTGCCCTCGGGGTCGAGGCGGCCACACGTTTGTTCTTTTGCTTCCGTTTATCTGAAAACGCGGAGTGGTTCACGCCGCCGGCCATGAGCCTCCGCAAACTTGAGGACTCCCCGAAGACTTTACGGGGGAGGCGAGGGGGGTCCCTTTGACGCGTCAGCTTGGCCGGGTGACAGCGCCCCGCGGGCAGCCTCCGGCCTGGGGCTCGGTGACGGGACTTTGTAGATGCGGCGGAAGTCCGCTGTCTATTCGGGTGATTCGAAACAGTGGAGATTATTCTAGAAAATGTGGACGGCCTGGTTCAGCCCGTTCTTAAGAGCAGAGCGAGGGCTTCCCTGAAGACAGGCCTCTCCCGGGACGGCAGCGTCGCCACAGCAGCCCGCCCGGCTCGTCGCCCCGCCGCCTGCGCCCGCGCCTCCGCTCCTCTGGCCTGCTCGCCGGCCCCTCAGGCCCAGCCTCGGCGGACGTGGTGGGAAAGGACAGTCTCCCTGGGAGGATATACGCAGGGACTCATTCCAAAGGTAAATGTTTCTGCCACTCTTTACCACACTCGAAATAGTAAGCCCTTCAGCTTTCGAGGAAAAACAAACCAGAACAGGGGTCTGACCTCCCCAGTCTATTGTGGGGAAGGGTGTAGACGACATCGAAGGTGGGATATTGGGGTGCAAGTAAAGACAGACTGTCCTGGATAAATGGGGGGAAGTGGGCTTCTCCCTGCTCCGTCCCACCCCCACCAGGACAGAGAGATTGTTCTAGGGCAGTGGGGGGGAAGGGAGGGGAAGGAGAGGGGGTGCAGGACCTGACCTGCTTCCTCACGCTGCTGCTAGGGGGCAGTAACGCCCCAGGAGTGGGGCGACTCAGGGGCATCTGGCTGGTGGAACAAGGCAGGGAGTCCTGTGCCCAGAGTCCGTTCCTGGTGTTGCCCAGGCCGTGGGCCAGGACAGCTGCGGGCAGGATGGCATCTTCCCAGCGCAGGTAGCACCATATGCGTGTGTGTCGGCTGCAGAGAGGAGCCGACTCCAGGACAATAAGTGCTTCTCCCTGGCCCTCCTGAGCATTCATGTTTGGGGGACCCTTAAGCACCTTGCCTTCAGAAAACTGAGGTGGAAACTTATCAGAAGATGGTTAGTCCTCCCCTGCAGCCAATTATATCGGGACCCCATTCCAGACCCGGCCAGCAGCCTTGCAAGGAAACCAGGGTTCAGAAACACGCAGTGTCCCTGGTGTCACACAGGGCCTTCAGCTCCGGCTCTTCTCATAAGAATAAAGTACCCTCTGTCTCACTCGGTGTCCTACGATTCATCTTGATCTATTTCAGATAGGAAAGGACCTAAAGAATAATATGAGTGCATCCTGTGCCTACTGCCTGCCCTAAAAAATAAAAGATTACAGCTAATGCCCTCCCCTCATCTCAGCCTCCCTGCCTCCCCTGCTTCTCACAGGAACTCTATTCTGAACTGGGTGTTTATCATCCCCATGGGTTTAGACTTTATTGAAACAAATGAATGTATCTTTAAACAATCTGCAGAACAGTGTTACCTGTCTTTGAAGTTCCCATAAATAGTACCACGTGCTTTGTCTTCCTCTCCTGCTTGCTGCTGCTTGGAGTTATTATCTGTGAGCATCTTCTATGTTCAAGTGTGGTTCTGAATCACTTCTGCCCCTCACGTACAGATTTCCTTTGTGTGGATACAGAACAATATATTTGTCTGGTCTGCTGTTGATGGGCATTTGGCTTATTACCACTTTCCTTTTTTTTGGTCTGTGATGAGCAATCTTACATAAAAGTACCAGTCGTTATCTCTTCATTTGCTGGATTTGGACAAGAGCTCCTGGGGAGTGTTCTCCTGGGAGTAGATTGCAGGGTATGTGAGGTACCTGTCCCACTTTATACCAGATTATACCACAGTGTTTTCCAAGGCAGCTGTACCCATTACCCTCCTACAAGCAGTGGCAAGGGTTCCAGTTGTCCCACCTTCTTGCCAACACTTGGTATTTTCAGGGTTAACGTTTTGGCCAATCTGATGAGTACAAAGTGGTACCTCATTTATGTTTAACTTGATTTTAATGGGTTTGACTTGATTTTAGGCAAGGCTGCTCTTGGGATATTTGAGTCTACATTTCTTTTGAAGCACCATCTTACCAAAGAAGTTGACTCTGAGGTTTTTTGGTTTTTTTAAAAAAAAGATTTATTTATTTATTTATACAAGCACTGGGTACAGTCAGAAGCACGGGAGGTTGAGAGAATTCACCAGAACCAGAGCAGGGAGCAGAACAGGCAGATGGACGAAGTACACTGCTGAGGGGAGCAGCAGGTGGCAGGAGGGGTCTGCGCGCCATGTGAGACCCCTGCTGGTGGCCAGGGAGCGAAAGGGCTCTGCAGAGGCTGCGGGCAGCTTCGCAGCCCAGTGCTCAACCATTGTGCCACCAGGGGAGGCCCGACTCTGAGGTTTTAACAGAGGAGGAACAGGAAGAGGGTTGGGGGAAGCCAAGGCAAAGGAAGGGGGATTCTCCTCTGTTTCACTGAGTGATACTCCTTAAGGGGCAGCATTGACCAACAAACCAGTTAGGTTCTTCAGGCCACCAGGGAGCAGCACATCTTTTACATCTTTCACAGATATGAAAACTGGCATGGGATTAAGTTATTGCCCAGGCTACATGGCCCTATCACTCTGGCCAGGTGGGGTGCAAGGCCTGTCTGGACCCCAGAATCCAGAACTAGTTATGGAGCACCACTGAACTCTACTCTTAGGCTAAGGGGGTGGGGAGTCCTGTCAGGGTAGCTGAATGGCCTAAGAGGAGCTCAGTGAAACTCAAATGGCCAATAAATACTGAAAAGCTGTTCAGTCTCACTTGTAGATAAGGAAAAATTCAAATTCAACTAAAAAGGTGGTGCCATTTTGCCAATCACCAGATTGGTCAAAAATTTAAAGCTCAAGGGGCCTCCCTGGTGGCGCAGGCGCTTGAGTGCCGCGCTGTGAAGCTGTCCGCAGCCTCTGCAGCGCGGTTTCGATCCCAGCCAGCCGATGAGAATCCTGCATGGTGCAGCAGACCTCTCCTGTCTCGCCTGCTGCTCCCCTCAGCAGTGTATTTCATCAGTCTGCCTGTTCTGTTCTCCGCTCTGTCTCTGGTGAATCCTCTCACCCCCCACACATCTGGCCTGTACCCTGGTTCTTGTATAAAAATAGATAAATCTTTAAAAAAAAATTTAAAGCTTAAGTGTTGGCAAGAATATGGAGGAATGGGCACCCTCCTCACTGCTAGGAACCAAGGTCTGATTTGAGGGTGTACAGCGGCTAGAGCTGATGAAACCCCTCAGCATCCAGGTTGGGTGACTGGGGCAGGGGAATCAAGGTTGGTGAAACCACAGGACTGGCTCAGAAAGGGGTGCAGGACCAGCCTGCCAGGGAGGCAACACCAGGCCCACCTGCTGCGTAACAAATGGCCCTGGGGCGGGGCAGGGGGTGGGCAGCACTAGGGATACGTGCTTTGTAACCATGGGACAGTCCATTGCAGCTGCTCCTGGGTAGTGGAGACCTCCATGCAGAGTGATCCAGGAACCCAGGCTCCTCCCTACTCTTGAGTCTTGATCCTCCTCCTGGAACCCATGGGCTAGCTTAGGCGTGTTATCTCTATGGCAACAACAAAGGTGCGGGAGGGCAAGTGAAACACACAATGCACCTTAAGATGCAGACCCAGAACTGGCAGGCCAAGCCTTCACCTCATTCTCCTGGCTACAGCAAGCCATGTGGCCAAACCCAAGCTCCAGTGGTGGAACATATGTGTCCCCCGCAGGGGAAGGTCACTGCAAAGTCCCAGGGCATTGGCATGAACAGCGGGAAGGATGAAGAATTGGAGCCGTCAACCGTAGATATTCTTCCACCTGGAGGAAGCTGAGGTCCAGCAAGGGTAAGCGGCTGGATCTGAGCCACACAGCCAGGCAGCCCCAGCTCCAGGACTCACACCCAGCAGCTGTCAGACGCCGAGTGAAGGCGGCTGTCACATCAAAACTTGACTCCTCCGTCGCCGGCATCACCAGGCAGCCATTTCCCAGCGAGTGACTTACAAGTAGAATGTGGAAATGCACAATTTCCTGGGCCCGATGTCTTTTTTACATTCATCTCTTGTCTGGGCCACCATCTGTCCCTCCACTCTGCAGCGACGCAGCGGCAGTGGGGCGAGGCCGCACCCACCAGGTTCCCTCCACTTTTGCACCACTTAGCAACCTCCTAACATGGACTACTGTGATCAGCAGATGTTCTTTAATTAGCATTATTTCCGTGGCTTTTATTGCCTCCCTGAGATTACCTGAATTCCAAAGCCCTCCAGGATACGCTGGACACATATGTGGCCATTTGCTTCCCTGGGGCTGGGGAGAGTGGGTGGGGCCATCCGTGACTGTCTTGGTAGGGGACTTGTCCCCTGAAAGCAGACTTCAGCCCCCAGGGAAACTTCCAGACTTAGGAGATCTGAGCTGATAGGAAACTCAGTGGGAACTCTGGAGTAAGCCTGCCTGGATTTTAATACACTCCCTGGCTCTGCAACCCTGGGCAAGTCACATCATCTCTGAGCCTCCAGGTCCTCATCTGTAAAATGGGATGCTGTCAGATATGTGTTAAATCTCCGGGGTTGGTAGGTGCCAGGCATGTGGTGATTAGACCAGTTACATAATGATGTTATTGGGCTCCTGACAGGCATCAATCACCCACACACACACATACACACACACATACAAGCATCACCCCAAGTATCATCAACACTGAAAAGGTCCACATTTATGGACACTTACCCAGGCCAGCTCTCTGCACGCACTATCTCACTCCATGTTCTCCATGTCGAGAGGTCACGGTTGCACAGAGGCAGAAACTGAGCTTCAGAGAGGTAGAGTGACTTGCCCAAGGTCACATCTAAACAGTGGCAGAGGGCCTCCATGGTGGCGCAAAGAGTTAAGACGCAACCTATGAAGCTATCTGCAGCCACTACAGCATGAGTTCGATCCCTGACCAGGGAGCTACCCACATGGCGCAGCAGACCTCTCCTAACTCACCTGCTGCTCCCCTCAGCAGTGTATTTCAATCGATCTGCCTGTTCTGTTCCCCACTCTGTCTCTGGTGAATCCTCTGACCCCCCCATGCCTCTGGCCTGTATCCCAGTTCTTATATGCACAAATAAATCTTAAAAAAAAAAAAAAAACAGTGGCAGAGCCAGGGTTTGAGTCTGAATTCTAATAGGGGTCCCTCTGATGCCATCTCTGTTTCTTGTCACCCCTATTTCTGTATTTAGTTTGAGAGAAATGGAGGTGGAGATAGACTGACCTTGCTTCCATGACATGGGTTGCTCCTTCCAACCACCTTTATAGCTGATGAGGCAGGTTCAGGGGTCGAGAGGCCTGCCCCAGGCAGGGGAGCACTAGACTTTGTGTCTCCTTCAGAACCCAGTTCTGACTTCTGTCTGATCCTGAACCAGGGAAATTGATGACTACTTCCAAACATGGATTTGAGGATTTTACTCCCTTGTCACA